CATGAGAGACTGCACATGAGAGACTGCACATGAGAGACTGCTCATGAGAGACTGCACATGAGAGACTGCTCATGAGAGACTGCACATGAGAGACTGTATTTGATGTGGGGCTGTTTTTCTTGGTTTGGACGCCTCAGTTGGGAAATCTTAGCAAACTTTGTTGATAAAGACTTACTCTTATATGTTATTAAACCTCAAATCAGCTCAACATGATGTCACATCCCATCATGCACCTCTCAGACAAAAGGAATGTGGCTCATCATACAAGTTGTCCAGCCACATGTTGAACATAGCTGCTTTGTCTCTGCCACAGATCTTTCTCTGACTGTCACCATGAAGGCATGAGGGTTGTCACCACGTAACAAACATCTCAGTGAAACAAGTCACAAAGAGAAAATCAAGTTGTGGTCGAGGAATGATGGTCGCTGGCTTTGACTCCGAGTTATGGGGGAAGTCCAGGCAATAAAATACGCAAGTAAAGTTTTATCTAGCATGAGGTGTTGCTATATTCTTCGCTACAAAAGCCTGAAACACCCAAAGTCAGCGAAAGTGATAAACAATAAAACCACAAGTGAGACTACGAGCCTTAATCTGCTGCTAAAGCAGCTGATGTTGAACCCAACGGGGTCACACTATTCCTCTGATCTACAGGTGGAAGAAACGCAGCAGTAAAGGCAGTGAAGAAGAAGACTTCTTGCAAAGATTTTAAAGTGTTTTAAGAGGAAAAGAAGTCAATTAAATAATTGTTTAAGACCACAAGGATTGAGGTGTTTTAGTGACCAACACAGAATGTAAACATGACTTTCGTTTGTTTATGAGAAAACTCCTTTTAGTGCGATATAAACAAAATAAAGCACGAAACGAATAGTATCGAGACTTGTAGAGTGTGTCAAAACAAAAAACACTAGTTTTGACAATGACATTATATCGTCTCATTTCAAGGCCTTTAAACACTGGGGGTGCGTTTTCTTTCACGCTTCAATACTGTATATGTTTCCAGTCACGAGTACTTTCACACAGAACGGGAAGATTATGCAGCAAAAAAGCAATGTGATTATTATTTTTTTGTTGTTTTTTCTCAGCCAATCAAAAGCGTAGACTGTGTTGTACAACAACACAGAAGCTCGCTGCCGGTATGAATTATGATGCGAAATATTTGCAGGTGAGTAACTGGAAATAACAATTTATTTTTATGGACTTTGCTTTTACGCACCGGGACATTAATTCATGTTGAAACAGGAAAGACACAAACAGTTGCCGCAGTTTACTTCCTCTTGATTGGGACTCAGCAGGCGCAACCTCTGGTTGTTCCGAGTGAAGCCGACGCTGAATTGTCTTAAAGCTGCATTCTCTCTAGTGTCCACCAGGGGGCGACTCCT